TGGCATCATTTGTCTTTTTTGGCACAAATAGAAGGCCCACCATTTGGATAGACCTATTCTCTGTTCCTCCTTTAAGTAGGAGATCAGGGTTGGGGAGGAGAGAGATTCAGAGGCCTCCCCCTTGCTCCAATCCACTCATCTCTCCTTTCTTCCTAGCCCAGGCCCTTGGCCTGCCCCCCACCTCAGACATCTAACCTAGCCCAGAGCCTGGCCTGGGGTTCCCTCCCCATCCCCCACATAAAGCTCCCAGCCCTCCAACTCTCTCACTCATACACAGACACACGGACACAGGCTCTGTACAGACCACAAAATAAAAACGATGAGATAGTTTTGTTTCCCGGAGTCGAGACGGGGGACCAGAGTGGAAGGGGCAGATGGGGGTGGGGGGCATGAATTCCCCCATCACCTTCCCAACCCTGGCTCCCTCCAGCCCCCCAGCCCCTTGCCCTGGCTGGCCCCCAGCCAACGATATTTGGTTTCCTTTTTTAACATTAAAGTTCTATGAGGTATTTGGTGCCTTATCTCGAGTCCTCGGGGGAGGGGGCCCGGGGGGAGACCTGGGGCTCACCTGCCCCTCCCTCCCTCCCACCCCCTTCCCAATATTTGGTTTCACAGCTGTAGTTAAAGCTTGGGATTTGGTTATTTTCCCCCCTCCCAGGAATATTTTTTCTTGTTTTTCTTTTCCCAGTTGTGGGGGTTGGATGGGGAGGGTCCCCAGCACCCCCGGCTGCACGGGGGTCCCTCCACCAATGTCAGGGCATCTGCCCCATCCCTGCCCCCTGCTTCCTCCTCTTCTCTTTGCCCCACACTGGGGTGGGGGAGAGGTCCCCGGTGGTGGGACTTGACGGGAGGAAGCAGGATGAAGTGGGTGGTGGTGAGTCCTGGATTTTCTTTTTTTTTTCTTTTTGGTCTAGAATCATAGTTTTTGTTTGAGTCATCTCCACCATGCCTTCCATGCTGCCTGTCTTCTCGGAGGGGATTTTTGGTTGTAATTCCTTTCATTTTTCTCTGCTCAAATGTCCTTCCTATCTGGTCAGGAGCCCTTGGCTCCCTCTCCACCCTTGGGCTAGGGCCCAAGCCCTCTCACCAGTCCCTTCTCTCTTCAGGAAATAAACATGGACAAACTCAGAGGTAGGGTTAGGGCAGGGAGTCAGTTCGGCGGAGATGCTTACATTCCGGCGAGGATGAGTCGATGAGGTGCAAGGCCCCATCGGTGCCAGGGTGGGAGAGGCGACTACTCCACCGCTGCCCAGACAAGGCACCCGGAGACCCCTGCAATGGCCGAGTCTCTGCTGCCTCCATGGCCCAGCCCAACAGTTTCATTTCCCGGGTGGGAGAAGGGAGACAAGAAAAAAGAGAACGCTGAGGCCTGGGGCTCCGTCTGCCTGTCCTTGGAGTGTCCAGCAGAAAGTGGAAGCCACCTGGGGCTGCAGCACTGCTGTCTTGGGCCTCTCCCCTCCCTCTGCTCCTGCCCAGCGAGGGGCAGAGGCCACATTGCGGCTGCCGGGCCCCACTCTGATTTCAATGGCTCGCGTCCTTCACAGCAACACTTTGGTTTGAGGAGAGACACAGAAAGAACAAGATTGAGAGAAGTGAGAGAAGAGCAAAGGAAGAGGGAGGAGAGAGGAGAGAGAAAGAAGAGGGAGACAGGAGAGAGGACAGAAAAAGAAATCCAAGGAGAAATCAAACCACCCGAAAGCTGTTAGTTTTCCTTCGTCCATTCTTTTTGCTTTCTTACTCCTTTTTTTCCTGTCTTTTTTTTTTTTTAAAGCTTTTTCAGTTGATTGGGGGGGCGGGGAGTTTGGGGCTCTTCACCCCTGTCCCTGACACCCTCTCTCAGCCCCGCCCACCCGCTTCCATCCACCCTGGCTGAGGGACAGGCCCTGCCCCAGCCGTCCCCCTCCGGCTTTCCCGAAGACGACGTCCATGAGGTATTTGTGAAGAGAAAGAAGCATCCGTCCTTCCATCCGCCTTGGGGACCAAGGGCCTGGACCACTGGTGCAGGGGCTTGGCTCCACCTCGCGGCTCCTTCTAATTCTTGAAGAGTCCTCATCTTCTTTCCCTTATATATATATTTATATATATATAAATTCTTTTTTTTCTAGTTTAAATTTATTGTTTGTTTGGTTTTCTGTTTTTGTTTTTTGGTTCAAAACTTTGTTGGCCTCCCCAATAGTAGGAGGGCAAGGTGGCTCCCAGCGGCGTCTCTCCTGTCCATTGTTGAGACGTGTCCAGGACTGGGCAAACAACGGGATCCAGCCAAGCCTTGGGGAGGTTTAGTGAGAGTAGTGGCCACCACCACGCCCTCTCAGATGGGGACCACAGGTGTGGCACTGTCCCCACCACATGGGCCCTGATGGGGATGCCATCTCGAGGAACCCCACCACTGGGGTGCATGCGTGTATGCGTGTGTATGAGGGGAGGGAGAGGCATTTGCCAGTATCAGAGGGGCACAGGGTGGGAAGAGTGAGGTGTGTTCTCTTTTTGGTTTCTGGTTAATGTCAAAGAACGTGAAGGATTCCACGGATAGGCACTGGAATATGAATTTTTTTTCAGGGAAACAGACAAGATGGAAAAAAAGACAACTGAGTGCCCTCACCTCATCCCCTCTTGTCTGAAATTTCCACCCCCCCCCATAGTCTGGGGAGGAGTAGATTCCAGAACAGAGGAGGGTGACAGGGTGGAGGAGGAACTTGTGAGAGCTAGAACTTGGCAAAATGGCCTAGCCCACCCTTCAAAGGGGAAAAGCGGGAGGAACAAGGAATGAAGAGTTATCCCCAGGCCTTCCCTTGAACTCTCCCCTGGCTGGGGGGAGGGAGGAGGTTAAAGCAAGACCCCCTGCCCAGGTGGGGAGAGCTGGGGGGCCAGAGGAGAGGGGACACATGGTAGGGACACATTCTGTTGAGCACAACGCTAAAAATTCTGTACATCCTTTGGATGAAGCTACTGAATATTTGGTGTAAGGTTGTTCAGGCCCTTTCTCTTTCACCTTCCGGAAAAGAACATTTGGCAGGTGGTGCTGAGTCCCAGCCCATCTACCCCAGGCTGTGCCCTGTCTTTGCTGGCTCAGGGCTGGGGGCTGGGGCTAGGAGGCTGGCATATTCTCTTTTTCCCTCTCTAGCCCCCATTGGGGGAGGCAGGCTTGGGGGTTGATCCCACAGCCAGGGCTTGGTGGCATGAGGTCCGACCTGCCGGAGGCTTCTCTGCCCTTGGCTGGGGTTCTTATTTGGTGTCGTAGCGGTGAGGGTGAGCACACTGAGGTCTGGCTCATGACTTGTTTTTGGTTTGTTTGATTTTGTGGGGTTTTGTTTTTGTTTTTTGGTTTTTTGTTTGTTTGCTTTTCACCTCTGGTTCCTTTGGGGCAGCTGGTTTCTGTTGTGATTATTTTTGGTTTTCTTTAAAGTTGGTTAGTTTCTTTCCTTTTTTTTTTTTTTTCTTTTTTGGTTACTTGGGTTTTTTTTGGTCTTTACTCCCTTGTCACTCCTGCTCCAGGACTCTCTGCGCCCCCACTGCCGGCCTCCTTGCCCTCTTCCCAGGCGAGGGACCGAGGTGGGGGTCAGTGGAGTGGGAAGGGAGGCATGGCAGGCCCTCACTCAGGCTTGGACCCTGCCTCGGGCCCCCCTGGGCCTCCAGGGGTCTGTGCTGCCGCCTCGCTGCAAGTGGAGGAGGAGGATGAAGATGAAGAGGATGAGGAAGAGAGGCCAGGAGATTTGCTGGAGATGGAGGCTGCCACAGCCGCAGCTGCTGCTGAGACCAGGCCCACGCCAGGCGGGGCACTGAGCAGGGGCAGCCCGGCATGGTTCAAGAAGAGTGGCGAGGTCACCAGGCCAGGGCTCCCTGGGGCTGCGCCGGCTGCCCCCAGCACCAGGTTCCCGCTGCCATCAAGGCTGGTAAGGGGCAGGGTTCCACCAGAGGCCAGGGCTGGCAGGGAGAGAGAGAGGCTGGGCTGGGGGCATGCCGGGCCAGGGTAGACCTTCACCTTCCAGTGTCCTGCCCGGAGTGCCCCCTGTCTTCCCATCTATCCCACTGACCCCCATTAGCACCCCTCACACATTCCCCAAAGGTAAGATGGGCATGAAGAGGCGAGTGATGCGATGCAGTGAGCAGGGGCAGGATGGCATGGCTGGAGCAGCAATGGAGGGGCTCGAGGCCCCAGGGGGCAGGACTAGTGGCGATGGGAGTGACATGAGGCAGCACGCACCTTGGATAGTGGCCAAAGGGTTGTTGCTCATGAGGGCTGGACTCAGCCCGGAGCTCAACCCCACCATTGTGCTTCTGCAAGAGGCAAAGCAGATGCATTAGCACGGGCAGGGGTCCACTGGCGGAACCGGGGTGCAGCTCCCCACCCTGGAAGCAGTAGCAACCCTGCTTCTCCCCACAGCCTCCCCACCTGCACCCACTTACCCCGTGCTGGGGTTCAGGCCCGATAAGCCGATAGCTGAGTGGCTGCCTTGAGGGCTGGGGTTTGTGCTGTTGGTGGTGGCCGGGGGTGGGGGAGTGACAGAGGGGATTGAATTGAGGGGGGGCACGGCCCCGCCCCCGCCCCCACCCCC